TGTTACATTCTTTGAGTTTGTTCCTTTCTTCTCCGGGTCGGATGTTTCTTCTCTTTCGTTGCTATCACCTCCTCTTCCAATCCCAGTTGAGGACTATGTTGCCCTTGTTCCAGTTGTGACCATGTCTTTGCCTCCAGTGCAACTACCTGCACCGACCACCTATTAGGCAAGTGTATACACATCGTCAGGCATCGGCTCCTCCTCCAGCTTCATCACCGTCGATAGATTCGATAGTTGTTACCACCCCAGCCCCACCCCCTGTTTCTGACCTTGATCTCCCTATTGCTTTGCGGAAAGGTAAACGCAATTGCACTCTTCACCCCATTTCCAATTATGTTTCTGTATCTCACCTTTCGGCTTCCCATCGCCAGTTTGTTTCTATGTTATCCTCTGCCTCTATTCCCAAGGATTTCCAAGAAGCTCTCACTTCTCTAGGGTGGCACCAAGTAATGGAAGAAGAACTCTCGGCCCTGACTCATACTCATACGTGGGACCTCACCACTCTTCCACCTGGTAAGCATGTTGTGGGCTGTAAGTGGGTGTACACGGTTAAATACTTACTTGATGGGAGTGTTGAAACGATTGAAAGCTCGGTTAGTTGCCAAAGGTTATTCACAGCTATCTGGTATCGATTACACAGACACCTCTCCAGTTGCCAAAATTGGGTCGGTTCATGTTCTGATCTCTCTTGCTGCTATGTTTGATTGGCCCTTGTTTCAGCTTGACATCAAGAATGTTTTTTTACATGGTGATCTCCTTGAGGAAGTGTACATGGAGCAACCACTAGGGTTTATTGCTTAGGGGAAGGGTGACAAGGTATGTAGACTTAAGAAGGCTATTTATGGACTTAAACAATCTCCCCGTGCATGGGAGTGTTGAACGGTTGAAAGCTCGGTTAGTTGCCAAAGGTTATTCACAGCTATATGGTATCGATTACACAAACACCTCTCCAGTTGCCAAAATTGAGTCGGTTCATGTTCTGATCTCTCTTGCTGCTATGTTTGATTGGCCCTTGTTTCAGCTTGACATCAAGAATGCTTTTTTACATGGTGATCACTTGAGGAAGTGTACATGGAGAAACCACTAGGGTTTATTGCTCAGGGGGAGGGTGACAAGGTATGTAGACTTAAGAAGGCTATTTATGGACTTAAACAATCTCCTCGTGCATGGTTTGGGAGATTTAGTGAAGTGGTGAAGAAGTTTGGAATGAAACAGTGTCAGGTTGACCATTTTGTATTCAGCTATGAATCCAATGCTTGAAAGATCCTATTGGTGGTATATGCAGATGATATTGTTATCACAGGCAGTGACAGACTAGGGATTGACAGGTTGAAGACTTACTTGCATGATCACTTCTAGACAAAGGATCTTGGTAAATTAAGATACTTCCTAGGGATAGAGGTAGCGAGGTCCAAGAATGGTATTAATCTGTGCTAGAGGAAATATGTCATTGATCTGCTAGAAGAAACAGAGTTGTTAGGTGCTAGACCAACCGAAACACCCATGGAACCGAATGTTGAGTAGTGATGCAGGTGAGGAGTTTGAGGATCCGGGAAGGTACAGAAGGTTGGTGGGTAAGCTAAATGACCTAACCATCACTCGACCTGATATCTCATTTGCAGTCAGTGTAGTGATTCAGTTTAAGCAGAATCCTCGAATTCCACATTGTGAGGCAGTCTTAAGGATTGTGCGGTATTTGAAGGGAGCTCCAGGTCATGGTTTGTTATATAAGAGTGGAGGAAGTCTTGAGATAGAGGGATACACGGATGCTGATTAGGCCAGTTCCATATTTGACAGAAGATCCACTACAGGGTATTGCACTTTTCTTGGTGGGAACTTAGTGACATGGAAAAGTAAGAAGCAAAAGGTGTTAGCAAGAAACAGTGCAGTGGCTGAATATAGAGCCATGGCACACACAACATGTGAACTAGTGTGGTTGAAGCATCTCCTAGAGGAGATGGGATACTCGATTGACACTCCTATGAAGCTATATTGTGATAATCAAGTTACAGTTCATATCTCCTCTAATCCAGTGTTTCATGGAAGGACGAAGCATATAGAAGTCGATTGCCACTTTGTACGTGAGAAGGTGCTTAATGAAGTGATAAGTACAACATATGTGAACATAGGAAATAAATGGGCAGATTTATTTACCAAAGGGCTGAATCGGGGAAGAGTGGACTACATATGTAACAAGTTGGGACTATATGACATATATTCACCAGCTTAAGGGGGAGTGTTAGAGTCGGCTGTAGAAGGGTAGTATAGACCTTTTATATTAAGTAATATATTGATTGTTTAGCTGATGTGGCTCTCGCTTAAGTGAGGGCATAAGTGTAATTCTTGTGTATTTAGAAAACTATAAATAAAGGCTGGCTGACTAGAGAAGATGAGTTTTCTCTCCAGTTCGACTGGAGCAATTCTTCTTCTCCTTATCTGAAATCGTATGGACACTATCTGAATTTTATCAAAAGGAAACTGTAGCAACCAGCCGCTCCAAGAGAGAGATCAAAACCCTTCTTAAGCTGGCCCAATCCAAACGAAGCAACAAGAGACCAAAAGTACTCCTCTAGGCAACACCAAGCCTAGAGTTTCATGCAGATCTGATGCTACTTGAAAGAGATCTAGAGAAGAGATTGAAGCTAATGGCACAGAGCTCCAAGAACAGGACTTGTCAAGGGCTGATAGAAACAGCCTAAGGCAGAGAAAATAGAAAAACAAAAGGATTCCCCAAATACTGATAAGAATAATCCTAAATAGCAATAGGTTTGAATCTTCTTCAAGCATTATCAGATTGTGACCTGCTCTGATACTCTTGTACCATGTCAAAGTCAGATTGTGAGACTGAGAAAAGAAGACGACAAATGTTGGGTGTGTCAAATGTGACAAGCAACACCCAAGAAAGAAAATTTACATTATAATAGCAAAAGGACCATTCTGACCTCAATACACAAATAGTATGAAAAGAAGAAGAATCTAATGCACAAAGTATGAAAAAGACAAAAATAACCCTCTATCTTTCCTCATCTCTACATACTCAACTCTGAATCGCTATCATCTGAAAAAGTTTCCCAATCATAATCCACCTTTTCTTGGTCCCTAGCACCACCATTTCCATTGAATCTAGGGTTTGCATTACCAGGCTCATAGGAAGAAGCTTCAGCCCTACACAACAGCACCATCTCCAATCTTCATTTGAGGATTGCCACTTTCAGCCAAATTTTGAACAAGCTTAAGGTCTCAAACAAGAAGAAGACAGATCCATACTTCAGTCTAAAGAAGGCAACTTTGTTACATTCATGTGTGACTTCGTCATCATGTGTTGAGGGAGGAAGATCCTCTTTGGATTTGTTATGGGCCCAAGATACTTAGAGTTCCCCTTCGTCCCAAAATTTTCTCGCCCACCCACACTTTTCCCAAGCACTCCCAACAAGTTCTTGCACACATGCCATCTTAGTTCCTYACGCATGCTTAAGCAATTTGAAATTTTATTCAGTCCACAAGCCAAACTTTGACCATCAAAACTTGRCCTCTTCAAGACCTCCCTTATCCCAATTTCTAAGCTTACACCTGCACCTTTGTAGGCCTATATTCCACATGTCCCTCCTAGGTTAGAATTGCAAGCCACGCTTCTATCCTGGSACAAAACTGCAGGCCTTTATCTTTTGACACCGATTGGGCGAAGGTCCTACTAGCTTTATTTTGGAGAGGAACGGAGTTATAGGACCTATGACTTTTGGTAAACCCCAATCTTCCTCTTCCTTGTTAGTAAAAGAGTTCGGAAATTTTGAACTACCCTCTWCTGGAACGCCACATAATTCCTACCCTCTCTCCAAGGCTGAGCATTGACAGAAGAGACAAGCCAAGCAACATACAAGCCTTTGCTATTAGGTGCATGGTGCTCTCTAACCAAAGGTGAAATGGGAGCCCTAGGATTCTGATAATCAGTCCCTTGTTTGCTGTTAGGGATTTARCATTTGAGAAAGGGAACCAACCAAAGACTATCACCTGTCCATCCATTTGAACAAYATAAGCATTCACTTCAACAAAGTCTTCATGCAAGTCTAGCAGGGACTTCTCTTTATCGAAGGGGGTTAAAATGATATCTCCTTTCAGCTTCAAGAATTTCCTAATAGAGACTCAATCCTCAAGTCTAGCAGGGACTTCACTTCCTTGGCTGTTATTACCAGACAACACTTCCAGTCAACTTTKCTTGAACAATTGAAAGTTTGAAAGAGCCTCCATAACTCGCTACCTTCAGCTGATAGTCCACGCCTTCTGAGTCATCTTCCTTCTCCAGCTCCACTCTGGGATTTTCTTGGACATGGAGYTCTGAGGTCTATCAATGATTATCTTCTTCATCATCCTCCCACTGGCAATCATCAGAAAACTCTGCACCAGATTCTCCATCTCCATCCAACCTTCTGTTCTCCTCCCTTCAAGGATACACACCATTTGCTTCGACCTCTGACC